AGACGGAATATCTAGGATCTACGGATTGGGATGTGATTGTCAGGTCGTCGGCGTATAAGTATATGTTGGTGTTGGGGGGATGTGGGATGTCGGAGTTGTAAATGGTGTATAGGTGTGGGGACAGGACGGTGCCCTGGGGGACACCGGCCTCCATGGGACGGGTGGTGGAAAGGGAATCTTGGATTTGGATGCGGAATTTTCGGTGGTGTAGGTAGGATTTTATGAGTTTGGTAAAGGATATGGGATATTGGTTGGTGAGCATTTTCATCAGTAGGCCTTCATGCCAAACCGTATCGAAGGCCTTTGCGACGTCCAGGAAGACAGCACCAGTGTACTGTCCCCTGTTGAAGGCCGCCGTGATGTGCTCGGTAAGGCGAAGGATTTGGAGTTCAGTGGAGTGATTGGGTCGGAAGGCGAACTGCTCGTCTGGAATGACTTGCAGTTCTTGGGAGTGGGTTCTTAGACGGGTTAGGATAATTTTTTCTACCACTTTGCTCATAGCCGGGAGCAGGCTAATGGGCCGGTAGTTGGATGGGATGGTGTGATCTTTGTTGGGTTTTGGGATAAGGATTATGTTTGCTGTTTTCCAGCGGGTAGGGAAGTGTCTTAGTCTGAGTGTCGCGTTTGTTATGTTTAGTAGGGCCATGAGGCCCTTGTGTGGTAGTCGTTTAAGTGTCGTGTTATGTATATTGTCGGGTCCGGGGGCTTTTCTGTTTTTAAGTCTGCGTATTGTCAGTCTTAGTTCGTCAGGTGTTGCGGGGGGGATTATGTCATTGTCTGGCTCTCTGTCGACGCGTCGGGCCGCGCGCTCAGCCACTATCTCGAATTCCTCGTCTTCGTCGGGCAGCTGAGGCAGTCTACACTGCAGTTCCAGGCTATCGGCGAAAGCCTCGGCCTTTTCCTGGTTCGTGTAAACCACCCCCACACTACCGTGGATTGGAGGAATTTTACGGCGAGCGGTTTGTCGCAGGGCCCTCTGCGTTTTTCAGAGGCTGTTGTCTTGTGGATCCAGCGACTCCAGGTGCCTAGCCCAGTTGTCCTGGGCCAGTTCGTCCTGAGCCGCTTTCACCCGTCTGTTAAGTACGTTTAAGTCATGTCTGTGTCGGGAGAGGCGGGTGCGGGTGGCAAGCCGTTTCGCACGTCGTCTGTCACGTATTAAGTTTTTTATGTCATCGGGGAGGGTGCCCCGGGGGTTTGTCAGTCGGGGGACAATAGTCTCCGTCGTAGTCTGAGTCAGGGCGTTTTTAATGTCAGTCTCAAGGGAGAGGATTGCCGCCTCCAGATCATGGGTGGTTTCGATGACTGGGAGCGCCATGTTTCCTTGCATTACTGTTCGGAAACGCTCCCAGTCAGTGAACCTCCTCGTGAAGGTGCCTTCATATCTCTGTCTTCGCCCCAGATCCAGAAATATTGGATTGTGGGCGGAAGACCCTTCGTATTGGGTGGATATTTGGGCATTTAACGGTATAGATTTTAAGAGGGCAATGTCGATAACGTCGGGGCGTCCTACGGGTCCGTAATGTGTCGGTTCTGTCGGTCCGAGTATAGTCAAGTCGTCGTGTCTGTCTTGGTAATTCAGCAGGACGCGACCTCTTGTGGTCGTCGTCCCGCTGTGCCATATGGGGGACTTCGCGTTGAAGTCCCCGATGGCAATTGTCTGGGGCCAGGAAAGGATTTTGTCTAAGTCATTGTCAAGTAGTGGTAGTCTGGGTGGGTGGTAACAGGACACCACCGCAACGTCTCCATGCCGTAGCGATCTCACCGCTATCGCCACGGCCTCTGTGTTTTGAGTTTGGAGCCGCTGCAGCGGATAGTGGTCGATGCACTTCTTTACTATGAGTGCAACACCACCCCCGTTACGGTTTCTGTCATGTCTGTATATGTCATAGTCAGGGATGGAGGTACGGGATGCCTCGCTGAGGTAGGTCTCCTGGACAGCCATAACGTCTATGTTTAGACGGTTCAAGATGTCCACGAGTTCCGTTTTTTTGGCCCGGAACCCGTCAAGGTTCCAGGACGAAATTCTCAGCGA